TTTTTATAAAATTAATAATTTTAATAATAAAAAATATAAAAAGTAAAAAACACACTTAATTATTTTTAAACAGGTCCTTATTATTCATTTAATTTTGAACAACAATAGTTAATTATTATATAATTAAACAGTTATATTAATTGAATTTGCTATCTATAATTTGCCACTAGCTTTTTGTTATCTGTCATCCGTTATCTGCTAACTGCTATCTGCTATCCGTTAACTGTTATCCGTTACCTGGTAACTGTCATTTGCTATCCATTATCTACTATCTGTTATTTATTTTTCACTATCCACTAAATTTTAACAACTATATTTTGTCCAACCCTCTCTAACTATCTTCATCCCCAGCCTTTCTCTTACCAGTCTCTCCACTGGCAGAATTTTTACTCACTGTCTCACTCCTACTTCGTTAATGATTAATGTTGTATAAGACTGGACAACACTTCTCTATACTTTAATACTCTCTCTATTTTAATTTAGTTGATTTACTTATTAAAATTTTGACTATTTCTATTTAGTTGTCCCTCTTTATATGAGACATTTAATGTTATTTTAGTCTATTTATAAATATAATAAAGCTCTACAAGAAATAAATGTCTTTTTAACGCTTAATTATTGAGAATTTAACTAATCCCTAAAATTTCTAGATATTTATAAAGTGAAAATTAGGACTCAAATGGAGCAATTATTTTAGGGGATTTTCTAACAATTGGTATTTGTAATTAATTTTATATAAATTTTTATATTAGATTTATTTAAAATAAAATATAGTATTTATACTAAATTATTTTTAAAAAATATATAAATCTAGTGTAAAACTTTGTACAAAATTAATTACAAAAATTATTGTTAAGATGTGAATACACTTATTATAAATATTTTATACTTTAAAATATTCTCTTTGTAAACACCTATATAGAGGTCATTGTACATATAGTATTATTCAAGAAAGCAATAAACATTTCTTCAAATTATTCATCTTCTTTTCTGTTTCCAACATAGTATCAGAGTTATAAGCTCCTGATTCTTCTTCTTTTTATCATCACTGCTTGGTTTTTGAGTTGGATTTTTAGATCTATTCAAGATCTGAAACTTTGTCATTGGATTCTCTTCTCTTACAAATTGGATTGTTCATTCTTAATTTTCAAGCCTTTTTTGAGGTATTTTGTTCTTTCGATCTTAGCATCTATTTCTTTATATTTTTAGAAATTTTTTAAGTATTGTGAGTTCTATTGATTCTATGGTGAGTTTTGAAAGAATTGTGACTCATTCTACTGTTGCAATGGTTGCCAAAGAGGCGATAGGCCAACCTATTGTCAACCTTGAATCTGTAAAACAAGAGATATTAAATCTTCTTAATGCTCCTATTGCCTTATCTACTACTCCAAGTAATAAGCCTTAGTATTTTGATTCTAATTGCTGTAATAAGATGTCTTCATCTACTACTCATTTCTTTTCAATGTCACCAAATAATTCTTTTCCTAACATTTATTTTGTTGATGGCTCCCCTATGAATGTTAGTCATATTGACAATATTTCTACAAATTCATTGACTTTATCAAACACCTTCTTGGTCCCAAGACTCACTTATAATTTTTTATCTGTTGGTCAATTATGTGAACTTCATCTTGAAGTAACATTTTTTGCTCATGGTTGCCATGTGCAGGACCTATAAATAGGATAACTTCTTGGAACTGATCGTAAGGTAGGGCATCTATTTGAGCTCAATTATCTGCATATTCCCCATCATAAAATGGATACACCATCATTTCCAAATGGTTGATTCATCCAAACCCTACTTTGTGTTGTTGAATTGGAGTCTTTCCAAATTCCATATCAACAAATCTTCCAAGCCTGTGTTCCTACTAACATTTCTACTCTTCATTTATGGCACTCACGACTCAAACACACCTTAGTTGGTAAACTCTATCCTCTTATCTCTTATGGTTTATTAGGATATATTCCAAATGAATCCTTGTACTGTGTGTCACGTCAATCTGCAAAACTACTAGCTTTATCTTTTTCTAGTAGTCATTCTCTTTCTATTGCTTCTTTTGATCTCGTGCATTCTGATGTTTAGAGTCCATCTCCGACACCTACCATGGGGGGTTCTAGGTACTTTATGTTATTTTTTGATGATCGTACTCGTTTTACCTAGATATATCTTATGAAAAATCTCTATGAGTTACTACAAATTTATATTGATTTCGCTACCATGGTCAAAACCCAGTTCTCTAAAATTATCAAAGTTTTGAGAACTGACAATGCCACTGAATATCTTAGTACTAAACTTCAATCGTTTTTTAAAGAACAAAGTACATTGACACAACAATCTTGTCCTTATACTTCTGAACATAATGGGTGGGCCGAACGTAAACACAGACACATTTTTTATTCTATTCGTGTTTTGCTCATTTCATTTTCCTATCTGAAGCGATTTTGGGGTGAAGCTGCTCTTACAACTATTTATCTCATTAATCAGACTCCATCGTTAGTCATAAATAATAGATCTTCATTTGAATGTCTACATGGTATTCCTCCTGCCTAGAACTATTTCCTAATGACGCTAATGTAGATACATTTGATGAGCTCTATGATGCCTCTCCACTTGCTCCATCTGGTTCTATAGAAGATGCTTTGCCTGTTGGTAATGCATTAGACAATGTTGAGTCTTCTTCCCTTAAATTTTCTGTATCACTTGTTGGATCTTACCTTGTTGATAATGACCCTAAAAATGAGATCCTTAATCCACCTTCAAGTCATCCTACTCCGGTAAGAAATCCTCCCAACTATCTTCGTGACTATTATTATTTTCATGGTATTACCTCCTTACATGAGCCTCAATCCTATCAAGAGGCCTATTCTAACCCTCTTTGGCTACAAGCTCTTGAGAAAACTCATACATGGGATTTAGTTGATCACCCTACTAGAAAGCCTCTAGCAAGTTGAAAATGGGTGTACATGATCAAAACTCAGTTTGATGGTTTTGTGGAGCGCTATAAGGCTCGTTTGGTTACTAAAGGATATGGGATTGATTATGAGGAAACCTTTGCACCTATCGCTTATCCTACTTCAGTTTGTAGTTTGATTGCTATTGCTGCTACAAAAGGATGGAAATTATTTTAGATGGATGTGAAAAATGCCTATCTAAATGGTGATCTTGTAGAAGAAGTTTACATGAAACCACCTCTTGGACTTAAGCATCCTCCAAACAAAGTTCGTCGATTGAAGCGAGTTTTGTATGGCTTGAGACAAGCACCTCGAGCCTGGTTTGACAAGTTTAGTACCACCATCAGTGAATTTGGTTTTACTTCTAGTCCTCACGATACTGCGTTGTTCATACGCAAGACTAATCATGGTATGTTTCTACTACTTCTTTATGTTGATGATATGATCATTATTGGGGATGATGTTTTAGGTATTTATGATCTTAAGCAATTTCTCAGTCATAAGTTTGAGATGAAAGATCTTGCTGTCTTGAGTTATTTCTTGGGACTTGAGGTCACCTCTTCTAATGATGGTTATCTTCTCTCCCAAACAAAAAATGCTTCTGATCTTATATCTAAAGTTGGACTCATTGACACTAAAATTGTATCTACTCCTCTTGAACCAAATATACGACTTACACCCATGGATGGTTCTCCATTAGCTGATGCTACTTGTTATAGACAGTTGGTTAGAAGTTTGATTTATCTCACTACAACACAACTAGACATAGCTTATGCAGTTCATGTTGTTAGCTAGTTTATGGTTACACCTCGCTCCACTCACTATGCGGCAGTACTTCACATCTTTCGCTATATTAAAGGTACCATTTTTCATGGACTTCACTTTTTCTGCTCATTCATCTCTTAAACTTTGTGCTGGGTCTAACACTGATTGGGTTGGAGACTCTAATGATCGTAAATCCACCACTAGATATTGTCTTTTTCGTGGTGATTCCTTAATCTCTTGGTGTAGTAAGAAGCAGATAGTTCCATTACGTTCTAGCACAAAGGTCAAAATTAAGCACTTAGAGATGCCACATCAAAGTTACTTAACTTACATTGGCTATTAGAAGATATGGGTGTTCCTCAACCGCCTACTATTAATCTTTATCATGACAATCAGAGTGACATGCAGATTGCTCATAATGATGTCTTCCATGAACGCACTAAACACATTGAGGTTGACTGTCACTTTGTTCGCCATCATGTTGCACAAGGAACTATTCATTTGGTTTTCATTGGTTTCGCTGATCAACCAGCAAACCTTTTCACCAAGGCTCATTTTCCTAAATGCTTTCATATTCTTCTTTCCAAACTCTAGTTGGTTTCATCACAACCACCTTGAGTTTGAAGGGGAATGTTAAGATGTAACTACACTTATTGTAAATATTTTATACCTTAGAATATTCTCTTTGTATATTTTATACCTTAGAATATTGTCTTTATAAACATCTATATATAGGTCATTGCACACATAGTATTATTCAAGAAAGCAATAAACCTTTCTTCAAATTATTCTTCTTCTTTTCTCTTTCCAACAATTATAATTAATGAGCTAGTTGTGCTTTTTTAGTTCTAAAAACTTTTGGGACGTATTTGGTTGGTAAGAATGGTTATTCCTTTATCAAAGTTTAGTTCTAAAAGTGCCATCCATGCTGTGAAAAAAATGAAGTAGGGAAAAATTGTCAACTAACACCCTTATATGCTCATCTTGCGGCAATCTCCATGCCCTTCCCTAAGGTTCGCTCTATCACCTGAACGTTGAAGCATTTTTGGTTTATGACTCACCTATCTACATCCCAAAATTGCAACCTTCCATGACTTTCAATCACCAACTTGAAGTCACCCACATCAACACTTGTCCCTCTACGGTAGAGAACTGAAGATGGCTCCCCATCGCCTCCACCAGATTCTCCATGCCATCTCCCTTGTTAGGGATAAAGCTCCATCTCTAAATTCTAATACCATTGTTAGAATTTGACTACCATCAAAGCCAATTGATGAAAAACATAATCACAAAATCATATAAGTAGATTAAATAATAAAACAAAATAATAAACCCTTCTAAATGAGAGAAAAACCACAGAGACAATCAGAAATATTCACTATTAAGAATAAGTTACAATATTAGAAGCCTAATTTCAATCTCTTCTAGGAATTTTTAATCTCTCAAGAACTCCCCCTCAATCACTCACAAAGAATTTTTCACTAACATGCCTAGATGTTCTTAATAGCCTCTAAGAAACTCTCATTAGACACTCATGGTTAGAAAAAGCCTTTCTCAACACTCTAATTACATAAAGGAATCTTACCATCTTGATACTCAAAGAGAGTGAAGGCAACCCTCTAATCACCCTATAGGGGTTGTGTTGTAACCACACCACACTCTAGTTTTTTCACTTTCTCACCCCATGCTCTAGGTTGCCAGTAATACATATATGTTAGGTTACAAATATTGGAGTTTGGGTTGGAGTAGAAATCCTAGTTATATTCTAAGGTTTAGTTTGACAGTATTAACCTGTAGCTGCAATGGTAGGTTATTTGGTCTTTTAACATCCTAAAAATATATAAAGAATATTTAATATATTTAATATTATTTTAATTAACATTTTATATATTTTAAAATAGTAAAAAGACA